CACCTGAGAGAGCTGGATATGCAGCTACGCCCAGAACTACTTTTTTCCAATTTGCACTATGAGCTCCTAGAGGCTCAAAGGTCTTCTTGAGAGAGACTAGCTCACTGGGATCCCTACCCATCTCGCCATAACTATCTATCTCTTTCCTCCCCTTCCTCCCTATTAATATTTCCCCATTTAGCATAGCTTCTCCCCCCCCCTTCCTCCTTCTCCATCTTTTGTTTTTATCTGATCCTGTCTCCCTATTTGCCCCTCTTTTTTCATATCTACTATCTTACTCTATTTTTGTTCTGTTTTTAATTTCTAAAATTATCATTCTCTTCTCTTCCCTTCTCTCCTCTTCCCCCCTCTTTCTCTTTCTCCTTCTCTTTTCTCATCTCTGTATGTGAGGCTCTGGGTTTGTTCCTCTGTCTCTCTCCCTCCCTCTTCATAGCCTGTCTCTTTTGATCTCTGTCTCTCTGTCATCTACTTGGTAACTCTTTGCCTCTCTCCAACCTCCTTATTTACGGATCCTTGCTCATGGCCTTCCAGAGACATGACCCAGGCCATACCAAAACACCTGCTAACATTCCTACCACCCCCCAATCATACAGTCTTCCCTTTGGCCCAAGGGTGCTTGGCACCAGGTATTAAGGAGCTGGGATGTGATCAAACTTTTCCTGCTGCCCCTCTTGGCAGCTGTCCCCTGCTCTCTTGACCAGCAGGAAGTAGAATGGCAGGTCCCAGCCCTCCTGGAGTTGGCAGGATCTGTTGTTTACTAGGCCTGTATTACAGCGTGTGCTAGGAAGGAGGGTTGGGCTGGGCTGTACCTGAGTAGATCATTGCGGAGTGAATGTGTTCACTAGTCTGTGCCCGGAGGGGGGAATGAGGAACTTCTCAAGTGATTTCAAGACCAAAAGCAACTGAGAGAGAAGAGCTATCCACTCCTGGAGAATATCAGGACCATTCTTGTGTCTCCTAGGGATTCAGAGACAGATCTTAGAAAGCCACAGACTCTAAATCAGGATTGGTAAAGACTCAGCCCAGGAGACTAAGAGGCAGTGAGATGCAGTTTGTTTAGAAGGGTTTTCCTGGCCCCAGGGATTGAAGGAGCTGTGCAAGGAGGCCTCCTAGGAGCTGTGCTCACTCCAAGACTGCTGAGTCACTTTTTAGGTTGAGTCAGCTTTAGGTTTCCATTCATCTTCAGGGGAGTGAGTTCAGGGCACCAGTGACCTCTATAGGTCTGCAGAGAAGGCTTGGGGTTGACTGGCCACCACTCAGTCCAGGGCTGGACAGAAGTGAATAGCCTGCTCTCTATGTAGCTATGCCTTCTCTCTTAAACCTCAGAGAAAGAAGGGGAATATGGGCTCCCCATCCCTCCTTATTTCCTCTGCTTCTCTCTGCCCCCAGCCTTGGGGCTTTGGCCTGCTATCACAACTGCTTTCCTGATGGCATTTCCTCCTTATTCTCATCCAGTTCCCAGTACGGCCTCCCCTCCTGTTTCCAGCGCCTCCAATGATCCAGTGGGATCCTACTCCATCAACGGGATCCTGGGGATCCCTCGCTCCAATGGCGAGAAGAGGAAACGTGATGAAGGTAGGGAGGAGGGAAGAGGCTTGGCTTCCCTATGCATGCTTTGTCCTTGGACTCAGAGCTCCGGTTTCGGCCCAGCCTCGCAGCTGCTCTGCTATGAGATCAGTTTTAGTGGCAAAGCCCAGGTCCCCCCACTGCCCTGCTGGCTCCTGGAGAGAGGGAGGCAGGCTGCTGGTGGGGCCATCAGCTTCACCATCTGCTCAGCAGCCTTGACTGCTCACCTTCCTCTGGGACTCACCCCCAATATCTCTGTGAGATTCCAGGGAGAGAAGCATGAACCATGTACCTTGGGAAGATTTTGGAGGCTGGGGGGCATCTGGTCTCTGACCTGAGGATAAAAGGCCAATTTGCCTTGTCCTCACCTGATCCCAACCCATCAGGAGAGAGGGGAGTGGTGTCACATACAGCTGATCCTGCTGTCCTTTCTCTGTGACACATGGACACTGGCCCCATTAAAACCAGGCAGGGAGCTGGACATGGTTCCTCTCTGTGCTCCCCCATGGGAGGAGACACCGGTCCGGCTCCTCTCTGGCCTTCCCCCATTCCCTGTAATGCCTCATGGTGCAGCCAGCTGTTAAGCATGGAGGTAGAGAGGGAAATAAAGAGGAAAAGGAGAGGGGGAAAAGGAGTAAGAGGAGAGAGTGGTGGCCATGAGTTTGGGAGAAGGTGTTTTTCATATGGATGACATTAGAGGTCCCTTGGTGACCGTCTGGTTCTCTTATGATGCATGGCCAGGGTGCAGGGCTGGCAGGCCCTGGCAAACAGAGACAGCAGTGCCTGGAACCTGCTTCTAGCCCCAATCTCATGGTCTCTGCTGGGGAGGCAGTAGCCTTCTGCTTTAGGGAGAGTGTATGATTTTAAGGGTATTTTAAGGGTATGATTTTAAGGATACCATGAAATAGGCAGAATCCTCTAGAGATGAGCACAAAGGGGGTGGCCATATATCCCATTAGTCCAGATGGTCCCAATTTATACCTTTTGTCTCTGCATCTTGGCCAGTCAGCATCTCCTTGTTCTTTCGAAAATGTCCTGTTTAGACAATAAGTCATATAGTCATCCTAAGCCTAGATGAGCCCTTGAATTGGGGCAGCTTTAGAGGGTAAGGAACAAGAAAAGGGACAACGCTGAGATTCCCTGGGCCCCAGGAAAAGATATGAGAGCCCTGGCCTCCAGTAGAAGGGGCAGAGTGTAGGAGAGGCCTGGGTCTGGCAAGACAGTGATGACCTGGTGCTGGCCTCCTTCCAGAAGCCCTAATGGCCTCGTTTCACAGGGAAACAGCTTGTCTGGCTCTATTTCTCCTTCTTCCCAAATATCCAAACCCATTTGGCTGCCACGGCCTTTGCTACTCACTGAATTTCATTGTGGTTGTTTTGGCCACAGCCCCTGATGGTCAGGGGGAGGCTATGTGCAAGGCCCTTAGTTCCACTTCTCCCTGAGGGTTTCCCACATTCAGGCCTTAGCCAAGCTTCCTGATGCCCTGAGTATCTGGAAGATTCTGCCCCAAACCCTAAGGGGTTTCTGCTTTAACCACTGCCCTGCATTTTTTAGAGTGAGAGATGTTCAGGAAGCCAGGGAAGGCCACAGACCCCCTCACCTCTCTCTCTCCCATTGTCCTGTGGTTGGACGTTTGGCTGCCACGGCCTTTGCTACTCACTGAATTTCATTGTGGTTGTTTTGGCCACAGCCCCTGATGTGCAGGGGGAGGCTATGTGCAAGGCCCTTAGTTCCACTTCTCCCTGAGGGTTTCCCACATTCAGGCCTTAGCCAAGCTTCCTGATGCCCTGAGTATCTGGAAGATTCTGCCCCAAACCCTAAGGGGTTTCTGCTTTAACCACTGCCCTGCATTTTTTAGAGTGAGAGATGTTCAGGAAGCCAGGGTAGGCCACAGACCCCCTCATCTCTCTCTCTCCCATTGTCCTGTGGTTGGACACAAGCATGCTTTTTGCTTCCTGGGCTCCTATGGGCCATGAAAAGAGACCAGGGGTAGGGAGGCACTGGCATGAGGCTGTGGCCACCCCAGGTTGGGCCTGGTTGGCCCAGAACAGAGCGCTCTCCTTTCTGCCCTGAGGAATGGGTGAGGGGCATGTTCAAAGACAATGGTGGTGTGAAATTCTCTGCTGGTCCCAGCCTTGTGACCAGAAGGTTCTGTGATGATAAAGTGCAGGGGCACTTTGGCTGGAATGAAAGGGCGGAAGGGGAAGTCATGGGAAATCAGGCTAAGTAAATGGGTTAGGGTCGCAGATCAGGTCAAGACCAGATCATATAAGGCGTTTGGACTTTTTCTGCAGGCAAGAGTAGGCACCGAAAGTGTGTGAGCAGGAAGGGAAAAGGACAGGGCTGGGTTGGGGAAGATCACCCTCCAGCGGGGTGACAGTGGTGGCCGTGGGGAGACATCTCAGGAAGCAGTTGAACTCCTCTAGGTGAGGGACAGGGGGGTCTCCACGTGTCCTGCTTACACACTCACTCCCTGGGCCTAGCGAGGTGGCAGGAGGGATCAGAGGCCCTACTGCTTTTTGGGGGGATGTGGAAGGGTTCTGTTGCCCTGACTCTCCCTCCTATTGACCAACCACAGCTCTGATAGAGCTGTCCTTTCCCTGGTAGAGCCTATAAGGGAGGCCCGTTCTCTGACCCCTCGTCCCCACACCACAGACACTTGACCTATCGGACCCAGATGGGAAGAGAGGAAAAGAAAAGAGAGAGCAAGGGCAGACCTTCCCCAGCCTGTACTCCCCCTCCCCCACTCTTGGTGCCTCTAAGCAGCCAGGCCCAGTTTGCATTAGTGAGCAGCTCAGATGATTAAGAATAGGGGAGATAATTATGTGTCAAGATGATGTAGCCCAACTCTGCAGTCAGGCCAAGGTAGCACAGCAGCTGGCAGGCCGGTAGCAGGAGGCAGCCTCTGGCCTGGGCTGCACAGACACCCAGGTGTGTCCTTTAGCTCCTGGGCCAGCACGGCAGGCAAAAGAGGAAACTGGCTTGAGGAGCTGAGGGCATTGGGATGGGAACAGGTATGCGTGTCAAGGGACTGAGGGAGTGGACAGACACATCTCCCTCCAGGAGAACCCTGATGCCCTGCCAGGCTGGCCTTTTTTTTTTTGGCCCCTCTTATTGTGGCATCTCCCTAGGAGTGTCATACTCTGAGGGCAAGCTGTGAGCCTCTCTGTCCTCAAGGAAGCCACTCCCGCTCCTGCCTCTGGGTACAGCTCAGCCTATTCTTCAGCTCTAACAATGTCATGGTGTTGGGCATTAGGAGGACAATCACTGCAGCGTGTGCTGGCGTTATTGGAGACAATCTCAGCAGTAGTTATTGGTGTTCACAGTGATAATACCCAGAGCATTATTGGCACTGGCACTTGGAATATGGACAGCGTTATTAGTATCTGCAGCAATCATATCTGTGGGGATATTAGTAAAGGGTCGATCAGCTGTGACTCTGGGGAAAAAGAAACTGACAGTGACTGGGAGTCCGCTTGAGACGCCTTCTCAGGCCTCGGCCTTTGCAAGAATCCCCAGACTTTCCTTTGAGAAATATGCTAGTCAAGAAGCTTTGACCACCACCTCCCCCCGCCAAACCCCAAGAGTCCAGGAGATCCCAGAATCAGACAGGTAGACAGGCTAGTGATAGATGAGTAAGTTATGTCACAAAGCCCCCAGAAGACTGTCTGGGGAGGTAAAACCCTGTTGTGTACCCGTAAAAGCTTTACCTCTTTTTGGCTACAATTATGGCAGAGTATATTAGGGTCCTTTGAAGGTTACTGCTTCCCTGAATGTGGCTTGTCTTGGCTTATGTGGCTGGAGAATAAAGAGACTCTTACATTTTTTCAGGCTGAAGAACCAAAGGCCTTTGCCTTCCCCCAGTTGCTTTCAGCCATGGCCCAAAGTGTTGCTGTCCATTGGTGTTGTTGAAACACAGAGCAATTGTATAACCTGTCCAACAATCCAAATGAAGTCATATGGTCTGAGTCTGTTAATCTGTGGGCGGGGAGGTGTGTTGGTCTCATCCTTTGACGTGTGGGATTGCAGGGGGCTGTGATTCTGCATTCCATTAATTAGGTGCACAATGAGTTGTGCAGTTGAGTGGTGCCAAACCGGTGCAGTTGTGCATTTGCAGGCAGGGCAGGTTGCACGGCTGCAAACAGCCGAGTCCTGTCACTGCCTTTATAGCTCCCTCCTGCTTTGGATGGAACCGTAACTGGAAGAAGCAGTTTATTTCCTTAGTTAGTTTCCCTCCTAGAGGTCCCCAAGTGTGTTGCTCAGGTTAGACTTGGAGCAAAGGAGGAAATGAAGCTGTGGAAATGAGCAGCACCTACCCCAGTGATGGCGAACCTGTGACACTCGAACTCATTTTTTTGGTTGATTTTTCTTTGTTAAATGGCATTTAAATATATAAACTAAATATCAAAAATATAAATCTTTTTTATACTATGGTTGCAAATATCAAAAAATTCCTATATGTGACACGGCACCAGAGTTAAGTTAGGGTTTTTCAAAATGCTGACATGCCGAGCTCAAAAGGTTCGCCATCACTGACCTACCCTGTCTAGGAGCCTTGGATTCAGGCAGGGGAAGGCTGCAGACCCCCTCGCCCCCCGCCAGGAAGGAGGATTTGGGATGGGGGCCAGCAGGCCGTCCCTGAAGGGCAGCAGGAACGGGCAGTTGGAAAAGGTGTGAGCTCTGTCAGGCATAGCTGGGTTTGAACCCTAGTGCCTTGGTCAAGTCACTTAACCTTCATCAGCTTCGTCTTCTCCTCTATGAAGGGGAGACGGTAACAGCATTCACTTCACAGGAAAGGACTACACGAGGTCATGGATATAGAATGCCGAGCCAATCCATCTTGGAAGATGGGTCACTGTGTTTCTGGGGGGCGGTGGGGAGAGACCTAATTAATTGGCAGGTTTAAGTTTTGAGAGAAAATGAAGTCATGTCAGGAAGAAACTTACTTGGGCAGAGCCTCCCTAGTCTTGGTGCGGCCCCTGTTAAGGAGGGGAGCTAGGGCAGTGGGGGAAAGATGTCAGCTCCCCGTGTGTGATGGGGGGACCTTGGTCTATCTCTGCTTACTCATTGGCTCTGCAGTTACCTAGTTGGGTCACATGTCCTCTCTTAGCATCCAAAGACATTTCAGTTGTATGTAAATAAATATAGGACCCCCTTCTTTTCTACCAGGGAGGCACCCCTCCCTCTATTCACTGCTGTGCATTTCCGCTCCCATGTGTAAGTTTACTTGTTGACTTTGTTTATGGACATATATGTAATTTTTTTACATAATTTATGAAAGTGTGTGTGTGTGTTTTCCAGCATTCTGAGATCTTTGGGTGAAAGGGGATGTAGAACACCAGGCATTGGGCAGGCATGCGGCCTTCTGGAGAGTGTATATATTTGCAGAGATGAGCAGATGTGAGCAGCTGCATGTCTGTGAGTGCTAGTGAACAGGGAGAACTCAAGCCAGGCCTGAGTGTGTTAGTGCCCATGATCTTGAGGCACAGGGCCCCATAGACATTACCCTGCATCTGTTGGCAAATGGATGGGCTGTATTGAACCCGCTCCAGGGGTGGCCTGGGACTCAAGGCAAGGGAGACAGGCTGGGAGCCCTTATGCCCTCGGGCTATATGGGAGTTGTCACTCAGCACCCTCATACCCTTTGAAGAAGAGCCTGGTCTCCCAATCTCAGGGTCTTGCCCCCCTCTTCTACCTGCCTGTCTTTCGGGATCTCTCAGTGTCTGTCTGTCTCTCATTTGCTCTAGTCGAGGTATACACTGATCCTGCCCACATTAGAGGAGGTGGAGGTTTGCATCTGGTCTGGACTTTAAGAGGTATGGGGGCCAGAGGGAACATGGTGTGGGGGTCAGGGGAAATAGCTGGGGGTGGCGGTTAGAGACCAATAAGAGAGTGGGTTCCTAAGGGCCAGTGAGCAGAAAAGGAGGAGGTGGCTCAAGCGTCCGCTGGGAAACCAAGAGGCTAACAGAATCTCAGGGCCTGGATCACTTTTTCCACGGGCCACTGCTGGGTGTGGGGGCTGAGACCCCAGTGGCCTGGAGGATCAGGCAGGCAGTGGATGGGGGGCACTTTTTCCAGCCCTTGGAAAAACAAAGAGCAGATCGGGTAGTAAAACAAAAGCAAAGGAGACCTGGAAGCACCTGACAGCCCTAATTCATCACGGCCCAAGTTTTTTCCTGTGTTCCCATTATATTTGTTTGTAAAAGTGGAAATCAATTTTGAAGGTAATTTTCTGGAAAGAATGGAAGGGAGGTGGGAGGGCCGGATAAGGCAGAGATGGTAAAAGGAAAAATTTAGGCCAGGCACAGCCCAGGGGCAGCTCTTGGCAAGGTGAAAGAAAATTGCATATTCAATCTCCATCCATGAATCTCCCTCACTGCTGCCCGCCTCCTGCTTGAAAACAATGAAGGCTTTTTTCCCAACGCTGGGCAGGGCCTCGGTATCAGCCTCACTTTAACTTCAGGGTCATTAATTCCCTGATTATTGAAGGAGAAGAGAGGGTTGTAGCATCGTCAATTCCAAAGGCACCCCCCATGCGATCAGGCCCTGGCTGGGGTGCGGTGGGGGACAGCCAGGGCGGGGTGAGGTGTTGTTTCAGAAGAGCAAAAGGAGGGAGGAAGTGGGGAGCCAACTGGACTGGGGGGAAGGAAGCCAGGAGGAGGGTAAAGAAGGCAGTCATTACTGCATACCTCTGTTGTGTTGTTATTGCAAATTAAAAGTAGCATGTTCCACTCCACAGCTATCTTTGGGGAGGGAGGGGCACCGAGGGAGGTGGGGGATCTTATCATTGCTTCTTCAGCAGACCAGCCGTGGTGTCACCGTGTGAGGTGACATTTGAATTTACAATTCCGCTGAGAAAAGCCATTAATTCACAAATTAACATTTCTCCCTCTCCCTCTCTCTTTAACACTCTCTCCCTCTCTCACATGGATGTGCAAGCAATTGAAAAGACAAAGGAAATAGCCTTAAGGAAGAGACTTTACTGCTAGTCTGTCTGTGCTGAGATTGCTCCCCCTGCTTCCAGATAGATAAACCAATTACCTGAGCAGCTCTGCTCCTGGCCGCCCGCGATCGCGATCGCCTCCTTTTGTAGGCTGCCTCCCCGGCTGGATTACACTCGGTGTATCTCATTAATGTAAACCAGGCGTGCCCTGGTCACCAGTCTCCCTTCCCCGCTCTCCTTCTGGAGGGGCAGCGGGAAGAGTGCTGGTGTCAGAAAAGGCAGGCAAGGAGGAACCCCTGGAAGAGGAGAGGCTGCCACTGCCCCGCTGGCCCGCCCTGGGACTTTGGGTGCAGCCTTCAGTCCTGGAGGAGGCTGATGGGGGAAGTCTGCAGGTCGGCACACCCTGGTAGGCTGGCACGGGCAGACCTTTAGAGGCAGAAGCAGGAGCCAGAGCTGACTCTCTCAGGCCCACAGTGTCTGTCTTCTGTGGCCTTTTGGTCCAGCTGCAGGGGGCTGGTGGAAACAGAGAAGGATCTAAGCGTTCCTGCAAGGGAAGAGCTTCGGGAAGTTTCGCTGAGCACATACCATTTTCGTGGGCCAGGGTTCAGCCTGAAGGAGCTGGGAGGGGTGCCGAGGAGGGCCCAGAAGACACAGTGAAGTTGCACTATGTTGGGTAAACAAAACGAGGAACAAGGTCTCACTGATTCCTTAACCTAAACCCAGCACTTGGGCACAGTTACGTGTGTTCACCACCTAATACACACACACACACACACACACCCATTTGATTGGTTTTAAAGAATCCCCACCCAGGAGTGCAAACCTGGGGTGGCGTGCCCTCAGAGCTCTGACGTGAGCTCACATGGTGGGCAAAGAACCAGGGAGCCTCGTTTTGCTTCCACTGTCCTCTGGGCCCTGGCCAGGCCCTGTAAGAAAGCATTATATTGGCAGAGGGAAGCCAAGCAGAGTTTGAGTTTCTCTAAGGACAGGCGCTCTGTGGGTTATTGCCAGAATGATGATTTCACATGCGCTATACTACCTAGCACGGGTCACAGACTGTCCCTCGTGAGGCAAGTCCTAGGAAAGCCCAGAAACCAAGTCCACAGGAAGGTAACCATCCATCTAGACAAGTGCCTGAGTTTAACTGCGTTAGCAAAGCTCACCCTGTATTCATTTCCCAACAAATATCCAAACCCTGGCTAATGTCCACTCTAGGCTAAGAAAGAGCTAAGGTTCAAAGGTCCGCATTCACTAAGACACCAAAAAAGTCCACTTATGAGAACATATTTGTTGTTATGATTATATCTTCCCAGTAAACTGGGAAATCAGGCCGTTCATGCTGAGGGGGGAATTTTTCTATCTTAGTTGGATCGAAATTTTTAGCCAAACCCTGGACAATGTTGGCCGTGAGCCCGTTGAACACTGACCATGTCATTATACAGAGGTGGGTGTAGGGCATGTCGATGTGTTATTAAGGCCTGCACCTTGGGGCCTGCGTGCACATGGGCTGACTTTCCTCTGTGGGGAAGGACTGGGGTTAGCCAGGGTGGTGTGGGGCTGACATGGGTGCATGAATTTGTACATAAATCCCTGAGTTTAAACCAGAGACTTCAGTCAAATCATTAACCACCTCAGGCTCCTAACCAGTTCCTGCTGTTGTAGATAAAGAATTATATTTCCTTGTTTGAGGAAGTATGTTGCGATTTCGCACAAAAGAGCTTTTTTTTCTTTTATAAAATGCCAAAACATTAAAATAGGTGGACCCCAGCCCCCAGGAGAGAATGTACAGATTAGCAGTAGAGGGGCCTGCGTGCACCCCTCCACCACTGAAAGTTGGGGGGAGGGGGAGGGGTGTAGCACAGTATTACCATTTTCTCAGCAAAGGCATCTGTGTGTTTCTGGGCACGTGTTTGCACAACCACGTCTTCAAACCCTAGTCTTCCACTCGGCAACTACCTTCCGCCCTGCAGGTAGGCCTCGTTCCCCTTCCCCCACCCGGCAAGGGCACCAAGTGAGAAATGAGAAATCCGCTGCCTCAGCGCTGCCCTTCTCCCCCAGGCATGGCTGTGGGCAGGAGGGAGGGGCTGGCCCTGAGCCTGTCCCCCAGGCCCTGCTGCTAGTGGGCTGGCCTCCCTGAACACCTCCTCCTTTGCAGGCCAGTGGGCAGCTGAGAAGGGCAGGGGCATGGGGACCCCTTGGAAAAAGGATTTAGAGAGAAGGTGGGCTGGGTTTGGAGACCCAGGATGCTGCCCAATAGAGGAATGGGTCCTAGCCACCTTCCCGACCGCTGTGGGCTGCACAAGGAGCCCCGGAGCCCAGGGAAGGACTCCCTCCGGCCTGCCTTCCCCAGGGCCATGGTGGCTGGAAGGCTCTCCAGGACCTTCCCCACCCTGCCCTGTGGGGGTGGAGAAGCCAGGAGGGTTGGGGGAGGGCTGGGAGATGATCACGAGCCTCAGAGCCTCAGAGCCGAGTTGCAGTGGAGCTTGGGGGAGGGCTGGGAGATGATCACGAGCCTCAGAGCCGAGTTGCAGTGGAGCCAGTAATTCAAACCATCCTGACCCTTCGGTGAACCCGAACCTGCTGACCTTGACAGCACCAGACAAGGGAGGCCTCACAAACCTCAACCTGCGTGGAGGCCGCGCTTTCTCTTTCTCCCTCCTTGGAGCCCCGTGGCCCAGCCTCCAGGTGGCTCCTAATTTGGTCATCCCCTCAAAATGTCAGCATACCTCCCTCCCCGAGGCGCCTGCCCGCCTGCCTCAAAGTACCCTTTGTGCTCATCTCCACCGGAGACAAGTGTGTGGGCATCTCACAAGGGCCTCTCCAGGGCCAGGCCGAGGCTTTCTCCTGTAAACACAGCTTGTACACCTTGTCCATGCTCCCGCCCCAGGCTTCAGCTTTTTCAGGAGTACTAACTCTAAAGTGTGTGTGCGTGAGTGTGTGCCTGTATGTGTGCGAGCGTGTGTGTATGTGTGTGTGTGCACGTGTGTATGTGTGTGTGGTCTGGGTGCACACAGGGGCTGGGAGAAAATGTGATCAAGACAGAGGAGGGAAGAAAAGCCTGAGGAAAGTTGCCCCCAGGAACCTGCATTAAAGTAAATGTAGTTTATGAAGTTTATGCTTTCCTCCCAGGGAGAGCTGGATTCCGTCCAACAGCCTCCCAGAGCCTGGCAAACAGCTCCTGAAGCAGTAAGTGCAGGCAGGAGCACGGGCAAGCCAGCAAGAGAGGGAGAGATGCACGGACACACGTGCACACACGCGCAGACACATTCTCCCACCCCCCACCCTCCCTCCCTTCCTTCCCCCCTCCCTCTCTCTCTCACACTGGCTCATACAGATCTCCCTAGACCCCAGCAGACTTCAAAGAATGGATGGAAAGATGCAGGCAGTGTGTTTGGTAGAAGGGACTTCAGGAGCTTCCCTTTCCTTCCCTCTTCCCTCCCCACCCCCACCCCACCTCCATCTCCTTTGGCAGTGTGGCCAACCCAGACACGTGGGCAGAGTGGATACTTGGGTGGACCACTGGGGCAGCCGGCTTGTGGAAGCTGCTCTGGGTGAGGGGCAGTGTGGGTGGTCTTTGGGTGGTGAGTATGAGGTCGATGTAGTCAAAGAGATCAGAATGTGGTCTGCCAGGAATCCGCCCTTTTTCTGATGCTGGGGAGCCATGTTCCTCTGGCAGTTTGGTTTAGACCAAGTAGGTACCTTACAGCTACTGAAGACAGCTACTGGAGTCTCCTAAGGAGAAACAATGAGGGACAGTATTTTGTTCCGGAAATTCAAAGGAAATAAATGGTTGGGATATGGGAGCTCTGAGAGGAAGCTGCAATATCTGCTTTCTAGACTCTTCTTCATGTGCACAAGCATATGGGATCAGGT